GTAGAGTAATGTGGCCAAAGGCTTGGAGGAAAAATGAAGCCTTGCATTTTTAAAAAAATATGCACAGCAATGCCAAGAGTGACAGAAGTGGAAGATTATCAGGTGTCCTTCTGCCAAATTCAGGAAACATCTATAGGGCGTCAGCCTCAGAGTGTAAAGTTGAACTTCATTTCTTTAGACAATTACTCCTTGAGTGGGACTGCATTTTAATGCTCCAGGAAAAATGGGCTGAGTGACTCATAAGCTAGGGTTTTTCTTTACTTTGTGGTTCTTCAACTGTTGTTTAAAGGTTGTTCTGGGACTTTCTTATTGATTTTATCTTTACACTATCTCTATTTAGTGAGAACTACCTTTCCCCATTTGTAAGACAAAGCTCAAAGTTGCAAATTTGTCTAAAGGAACCTACCTATCTACCTTTCCTTTTTCCATCATGAAATAGTTCACATGAACAAAACAACAAAACAAAGAACATAAAGAACATCTAACTACAGCTACCCATCATCTGCCCTAAAAACAAAGCTTCCTGAGGGTGCTCTTTGCATTATAATGTTGCCTGTATTACAGAAAACGTTATGCAGAAACTCTTCTGAAATATTTGAATTTGGCTGGTGTCACATGCACAGTAGACTAAGAATGGACTTACAAATGAATTTAAAGTAACCCTGCATTACAGGAAGGGAAAATACTCCCCCCTTAAAAAATAAATTCCAAGCTGGGTGTGGTGGCACATGCCTTTAATCCTAGCACTTGGGAGGCAGAGGCAGGCCGATCTCTGTGAGTTCAAGGCCAGCCTGGTCTACATAGCTTCCAGGCCAGCTGGGGCTACAGGGAGACCCCCTGTCTCAAAAAGACCAAAAATAAATAAATAAATTCCAGATTGTTCTTTTTTGGCAAAAAAGGGAACATCATAAAGTGGCCACAGTTAAGTTTTTAGAAATGTCTTTGAATGTTATTCAAGGACAACCTAATCTAACCTTGGCTTGATAGAGCTCTGTTTCATTGACTTGCTTAAGAAAAAGATACCAGGAGCAAAGAAAGCTACAGGTTGATATTAAATAACTTATTTTTAATGTCAGTGATGGGAAATCCATTAATAATAGTTCTCCCACAATAGTCGAATACATTTTAAAAAATATTTTAATTTTAATTACTTGTATATGTGTGTGGAGGGTGGGGTATGGGCATGTGAGTGCACTGCACTGAGGAGGTCAGAAAAGGGTGTTGGGTGCCCTGGAGCTGGTGTTATAGGTAGTTGTAAATGGTCGTGGGTGGTAGGAACTGAACTAGGGTTCTCTGCAAAAGCAGCATATGCTCTTAATTGCTGAACCATCTTTCCAGCTAATGGCTGGGATTTAGTACAAGTATTTGCAATGTCATTATCTACAGGCCTGGCCTTGACCTCTGGTTTCCTTGGGACTTGTGAGGTAGTCTCCAGCAGATGTCTCTTGCATCCAGGAGCTTTGCAGAACATGGGTAACTTTGAATGCAATGTCAGTCAATGTCACTAACAGTACTCAATACTCAAGCCAGTCCAGTCTGTTAGAGCTGGGACTTTGTGTCTTGGGTTTACAGTCAGGCACAAGTTTCAGTCCAAGTTTAAATGGAGCACCTGTTTTTTGGGAGGGGAGTAAAAGATTGATGGAACACCAGGAAGAAAGCTGGAGTAGGTGCCTTCACAGCAAGCTCTGTGACAGTTGTGGAATGATGTTGTTCCTGTCTGGATAGAAGTAGATCTTTGGAAAACTTTCCTCCAGAACTCATGTTGAAACTTAATCCCCACTGCAACAGTGTTGGGAAGTAGAAGGGCCCAGTAGAAGAAATTTAGGACTAAGAGGACTAATACTATAAAAAGTGGGAGTGAGTTTCTGTCTCTCCCACTTCTGCATGGGAGGAGAGTGCTGCTGTATCAAGGCACCATCTTGGAAGCAGAGACCAGGGACCCTCACCGGACACCAAACTTGGCAGTGCCTTGATCTTGGGCTTTCCTGCCTCCAGAACTCCGAGAAATAAATTTCTGTTCTTTACAGATTATTCAGTCTCAATCTATTATAGCAGCATAAAACAGGCAAGTTGGATAGTGTTGATACCATGGAAATCAGTGCTTTCAAGCTGTGTGTGGAAGTTCTTTGTAGGAATCCCGCTTGACAAGACTAAGCCATGTTGGTTGTACTCTGTTTTGCTCAGCAAATGACCCTGGCAATCCAAACTCCTATAGGATAAACAGACACTAAGATGCCTGGATTGTTTCCTGACAGACACTGCCACGTGCTGGTGGTTTTGAGAAGGGCAAGATACATTCTGGTTGGCCACAGCCCATGTTTGTCTAGCCCAGCATATAAACCCCTTCCTCCTGCCTTGGGGTATAGGGTCCTTCCTTTCTTGCTTTTGTCCATAAGCCCACCTTGTATAGTCCTGGATCTGCCTGCCTTTCCTTGGTCTCTTGGTCCCTTTGATAGCCTGTTACCACACAGCAAAAGATCAGGTTTTTCTGAAAGAGAAGTACTAATTGACTCTTAGTTCAAGAAGATGAGTACACTGATCACACATGCTCTTGGTCATTGTGTCATGAAATTATATAAAAGCTTTATCTTGGTCCATTTTCTTTTGCTATAACAGAACACCTGAGGCTGGATTACATTATAAAGAAGTTTGTTTTGGCTAATAGTTCTAGTGGCTGGGAAGTCCAAGATTACCACAAGGGCCACATGCTCCAGTAGTGGTAGGAAAGTGGAAGGATAAGCAGGAGTATCTATACAGACAAGAGGATAGGGTGCTTTATAACAGCCTTCTATTGTGGTAACTAAGCCACACCCTCCATGAAGCTAGAATCTCACATCACTAGGTCCCACCATGCTGTCTGTCACATAGAGGAATTATAAGTTCCAACATAAGTTCTGGTGGGGACAAGCAACACTCACAACTACAGCAGATTTCTAAATGCTTGCCTAAATTTTGGCTTGAACTAGTTATTTCTAAACCACATGAACGAAGAGGTGGTTGCCCCCATGTCTTTCTGAATGGAGGTTCAGAGAGGTATTATCAGAAGAGGAACAAGGTACCACTGTAGTAATTAAGTGTATTAAATCTTCCAGAAAGGACTCGGGAAATTGTTGGGTTCTGGACCATCATGGGGTTGTATGAGAACTTACCTCTTTTTTTTTTTTTTTTTTTTTTTTTTTTTTTTGTGTCTTTTTGAGACAGTGTCTCTCTGTAGCTCCAGCTGTCCTGGAACTCACTATGTAGACCAGGCTGGCCTCGAACTCACAAAGATCCCCCTGCCTCTGCCTCCCAAGTGCTGGGATTAAAGGTGTATGCCACCACGCCCGGTTGAGAATTTACCTCTTTTTATGTTAAATATTGAAGAATCTCTTTTTTTTTTTCCTGTGGTTGAATGGGAATTCATCCTCTTTTTATGCTAAAGATTGATTCTCATTTTTTACCTTAGCATTTGTATCTGTTTTAATTATGTTTGCATTGGTAAAGCTTGTCAGCTTTCATAACCATAGAGACTGTCCTAGTTTGTCCTTCATTGCTGTGACAAAACACTCTGACCACTACCAACTTGGGGAGGAAAGAGTTCATTCAGCTTACATCTCCCAGGTCGTAATTCATCAGGGAGCCCAAGGTAGGAACTCAGGGCAGGAACCTGGAAGCAGGAGCTGGAGCACAGGCCATGGAGGAATGCTGCTTACTGGCTTGCTCCCCTGGCCCCTGCTCAGCCTGCTTTCTTATCCAACACAGGCCCACCTGCCTAGGGGTGGCACCACCCTCAGTGGGCTGGGCTCTCCCACATCACTTAATCAAGAAAACGCCCCACAGAGATGGCCATAGGCCAGTCCAATGGAGGCAATTCCCCAGTTGAGGCTCCCTCAACCCAGGTGTGTCAAGTTGACACTAAAGCTATCCAGCACAGAGAGCCAAGCAGTATATCCAGAGGCTTGGTAGGCAAGGCCACACATTCCACTCACAAAAGGGCAGTCTGAAAAGGGTCGTGGGAAAGGGGTTCTTTCAATGGCTCAATAGATACCAGTCAGGGCACTACAGATTCAGCATCCTTGAGCAGGCTGACTTGGTGTACTGGCTGAGGCACTTGATAACGCTGGCATTCAGAAATCAGGCAGTTTGACTGCCACAGGAGGCCAATTTGTTAAGGGAGATTAGAAAATGTTGGCCCTCCATCCCAGTAAGATAGCCTGGGATTTAAACTTCAGCTCCACCATCACATCAGACTACATTCAGAGTTTGTCCCTACATACTTTTACAGACGGCTCATGTTGCTGGGAGGGAACTTGGTAGCATTTTCTGTAGGCCTGACAGACCTGTGAGAGTGGGAAAACCAACTGTTGGCTGGACTAGTGGACTCAGGTTAGTGAAGCGTAGCAGCTTACATGGCAGCCATCTGGACGGGTGTTTGCTGTGGTTACAGCAGGCTCAGTGCATGCAGTTACACTAGCCACAGTCTGCTGTACCTGGGCATAAGTCTAGCAGGCACATATAAAATGTGTTCTTGCAAGGCAACATACTTTCTAGGAAGAAAAGTTGTCATATATAGCTTGTGTACATTAAATGTTATGAATTTAGTGACTGTACAATGAATGTAGCAAACGTTTCCACTCAATGTAAGATCTCCTGCTGAGTACGGTTCATTAAGACTGAGGGATGGGAGGGGACCATGTTTGCCTTTCCACTCTACTTTGTTACCTCCTGTCGATTCTAGTGGTTTAGTTTGTTTTGTGCTTTGGGGATCTGCGCTGTTCTGTTGAATGCTAGTCTTTTGTCTTCTAGAAAGACACTGCATGACAAGCCAGATTCCTAATGCAAGAGCTGTAATTTGGGAGAGGAGATGAGGCTCTTTTGGAGCAAGGCAGGCCTTTGGAAAGATGTGGTTTGAGTAGTTCATAAGGAAAACAAGGTCTGCAGCTGTCTCCTGGGTTCACACAGCCTCCAGGGAACTTGAAGACAAGCACAGGGGCAGCCTAATGCATCCTTTGTTCCTGCAGAATGCCTGTCTGGGGCGGTGGAAACAAGTGTGGGGCCTGCGGAAGGACTGTGTACCATGCCGAGGAGGTGCAGTGTGATGGGAGGAGCTTCCACCGCTGCTGCTTTCTGTGCAGTGAGTATCCCCCTGACTCCGCCTGTCACAGAGTGGGTGGAAAAGGCTGCTAGTTACCCTTGTTAGAAATGATAGTTTTGCCAACTAAGATTATTTTAGAGGCGGGGGTAGTTTCTGTGTGTCTTCGGACACCTGGCCTCCATGTTGGCTGTCTGGCCTTGGCTCTGTTACCTTGCTTTAGTGAGGGCTCTGTGGCAGTTAGGAAGTCTGGCACTACTACAGTTTCTGGCACACCCTAAGGGTTTGGCTTGTTTTTAGTAAGTAAATTGCTCTTCATCCACCAGTTTTCTCTTCCTGGCTGGGATCCTTTATGAAATATTTCTTATCACAATGAGAACTGAAATTCAGAGTCTGTAAGTAAGTTTAGTTTCTTTAGAAGCTCAGTTTTTCTCTTCTCTGTACTGAATGATCATTTACTCCTGGTTATTGGTATTCTTAATCTGGGAGAAAGGATTGTAGGATATCTAGGGCCCACATAAGCACAAGCACACTGGGGATGACCACTGTTTATAGGTGTCTCATGTAGACAGGAAGGACATAAAGCAACACCTGTGTTCTGGGGAGTAAATGCCTGCTAATGAGAGAAGCAATAAAAGAAGTCCTCTTCACAGAACACTAAGTCTAAAGTTTTCAGAGCTGTAGCTTAGCTGCTTGAGAAAGCTCTTCATTAATAATCTTCTTTGGTCTTTTTGAGACAGGGTCACGTCCCTTGTAGCCCCAACTGGCCTGGAACTCACTTTGTACACTAGGCTGGCTTCGAACTCACAGAGATCCACCTGCCTCTGCCTCCTGAGTGCTGGGACTAAAGGTGTGCGCCATCACACCCAGCATTAATAATCATCTTAATCCAAAGGATACAGTTGTCTTTAATGAAGGATCCATCCATGCAGATTTGCCTTACAACATTATACAGTGAAATTACTCTAAGAAGCTATATTTTAAAAACAAATTTCCTTTCATTAAGAAATAATCTTCGGGTGCTGGAGATGACTCAGAGGTTAAGAGCACTGGCTGTTCTTGCAGACCTGGGTTCAAATCCCAGCATCTACATGGCAGCTAACAACCATCTGTAACTCCAGTTGCAGGGGATCCAATGCCCTCTTCTGACCTCTGCAAGGCCTGCATGACACAGTTGCACCTACCTACATGGAAACAATATACTCATATTCATAAAATTAAAAAAAAAAAATATATATATATATATTGTTTTTTTGGTGTTTTTGAGACAGGGTCTCCCTGTAGCCCCAGCTGTCCTGGAACTCACTATGTAGACCAGGCTGGCCTTGAACTCACAGAGATCCGCCTGCCTCTGCTGGGATTAAAGGCATGCGCCACCATGCCCGGCTAATAAAGTATTTTTTTAAAAAAGAAAGAATCTTCAGATCCAGGAGTGGTGCATGCTTTTAATCCAGCACTCAGGAGGCAGAGGCAGGCAGATCTCTGTGAATTCAAGACGAGCCTGGTCTACATAGAGAGTTCTAGGCCAGCCAGCTAGGGCCACAGGGAGACCCTGCCTTAAAAAGACCAAAAAAAGAGAAAAAAAGAATCTTCAGGAAAAAACCTCTTTCAAATTTGGCTTGTCTTTTTTTCTATAAGTGCCAGCTCAAGGTATCTGGACTTATTTATAATTTGACTACTTCACAGACAACTAGAAACTAATACAATTGTAGCTACTAAAAGAAAAATTACATGTGTTTTGTGTATCTCTAGTAGCCACTGCTCCTCAGATTTGAACTGTTGCTTCTTTTAGAATTAGTGACTTTTTAAAATGTTTGTGTGTGTGTGTTTTTTTAAATTTTGATATCAGATATTTTTTTTGAATTTTTTTTTATGTGTATGGGTATGGGTGTTATGCCTGCATGTAGGTAAGTGCACCCGTGTTGTGCAGTGCCCACAGAGGACAGAAGAGGCTGTCAGGTCTCCCTTGAACTACAGTTACAAACAGTTGTTAGTTGCTGTGTGGGTGTTGGGATTCAAACCGGGGCTTCTGCAAGAACAGTCAGTGTTCTTATCCACTGAGCCATCTTTCCAGCCCCTAAATGTTTGGTTTTTAAAAAACTTACTTCTATTTTTTTACATGTATCAGTGTTTTACCTGCATGTATGTAAGTGCACCCAGGCTGTGCAGTGCCTTCAGAGGCCAGAAGAGGGCATCATATCCCCTGGAACTGGAGTTACAGTATTTATTTATTTATTTATTTATTTATTTATTGTCTTTTTGAGACAGGGTCTTCCTGTAGCCCCAGCTGTCCTGGAACTCAGTATGTAGACCAGGCTGGCCTTGAACTCACAGAGATCCGCCTGCCTCTGCCTCCCGAGTGCTGGGATTAAAGGCTTACGCCACTGTGCCCAGTCATGTTTGTGTTTTTAAAAAGAATCTACATTTCAACAGGCTTGTAACTATGAAAGAGCAGAAATGAGAAATGCAAATACTTGAGAAATTGCTGCCATTGTTTTGAGGTTAAGCAGGATGGAGGCACCATAGCATAGCCAGTGTTTACTAAATGTCACCTTCTTTACTGGCCAGTTCTACTTTTCCTCATACACGCCTCTGCTGACTAAAACCTTTTTTTT